AGAGGGCAGACGGACAATCACACTCCCTCTCTCTCTCTCAAAAAACGCCCCCAAAAAACGATAGAGGTTTATATCCCAGCAACATGATGAATAGTGGGAAGACAATGAATAATTGTTAGTCTCTTAAGGTTGCCTCAGAACTCAGAGCTACCATGCAGAAAAACGACCACAAGGTCAGGAGGAGGTATCTAACTGGATAGGGCCAGTAATTGGAACATTATTGTACAGAGCTTGCCTGCACTGTGTCAGTCCTGTAGAAAAATAAAGGTTTCCTGTGTTGCCTTTCTCTGTGGGCTCAACTGTGCCCTGCATGGGGGTAGTGTGGAGCTGTACTGCCCCAGGCAAAGCACTGGGAAGTTCAGAGAAGCAAAAAGACCCCCAGAGTGACCTGGTGTCCACTAAGAGAGCTCCCACTGCTACATACTACAAAATACTGTGTGCCATTTCCACTCCTGCTCCCTACACTAATGCAACGGGGACTAGGGCAATGATCTTGCCCACTCCTCTTCTCTTTGGAAGCATTGGGTGCCCCTGGAGCATCCCCACCTCACTGCACACCCAAGTAAGGACCATGTTTTGTGAGCCGAAACAAAACACACACTATTCAGGATTGTATTCCACCTTCAAATTCTTGTGCATATGTTGCAAAACAGTTACTGCACCTTCGCATGTAAGTACAGTACTTAGCAAGGGAAATCCACAGAGCTGCAGGCAAGATTAAGCCCGACAGCCAAATTCTGCTCTCAGCTGAGATCAGTGGAATTGTGCACATGTACCCAAATGCATAATTTGCCCCGCATTGTTAGAATGCGAGGGTTATTTACTGTGGGGACTGAGTCTGCTGCCACAGAGATAGAGTTGCACTAATTTAATTAAGGTATGATATTAATCCAATTAAGCTAAACCAATTGGGTCAGGCTGTGCCAATATATATAGGGTTTAAACCAATGTAAGACTGTCCACACACAAAGAGGCACTGGTTTAAAGTGTTGCCAACAAGCACAGTTTTGTCAGGAGTCTCACAAAATGTGGAATTTTTCTTAAAGCCCCACCTAGTAGAGTCAAGTGATTTTCTGGGGAATGTCAGTTTTTATTCCAAAAATAAGGTAAGTTTCTAGACCCCATGATTGAAGAGAAAAGCTTGAAAATGTGACCCCAGTGTAACCCTAAAGATTCAAACACCTAAAGAAAATTAAAAAGAACCACATTTTACTATTTTGAAAATCATGAGATCTTTAAAGTCAAGTCTCATGTTGCGGGAGGGGGTGGCTCATCATTTTTTGAATGCTTGGGGTTGGCAATGCTGGGTTTGGCCCCCGTAAACAGTGTCTTGCAGCATACCTGGCAAGCACAGAAACCTCGTTGTGCCCACCATCTCTCCTGGGACTTGCACCATTCTTGGGGCTTGATCCGACTAACCTTTACTCATCTGAATAATCCTCACACACACGAGCAGTTGCACTGATATCCATGGGATTATCCATGCAAACAGAGATTTGTGGGACTGGTCCTTTACTGTGCAAATTCTGAAGCCCATTTTGGATTTACACCTGGGAAAATCATTGTTCTGTGTGTTTAATGTTCACCTTTTTGCACATCCATCTCTGAATTTGACCCAATGGCTACATAATAAGCTCACGGCAGCAATAATTACAAATCCTGTTTACACTTACTTCACTTGTACTCAACACTGCTCCACCCAGCTTTCTCAGGAACAAAGATTAACCATTTTTCATAACCTACTTGACTCTCAGTAGTTCAGCTGGCAGAGCTCTTTCTATGACAGGCTAGACAGCAATTTACCCTCTGCCTCCCTGTTACAAATTAAATATTTTATTCCCACCAGAAAACCGAAAGAGATACATTTATAGAAAAATAATTATCTCCCATTGTCACCAAAAGGCAGAACAGATCTGAGCTGGCTGTAATCGAAGGTGGCTCTACGTTCCCTTATAAAGCTCCATCTTAAAAACAGTTCAGCCATTTGCTTCCACTACTCCTGTTGGGATTATATGACAGGGTTGCCTGTGATAGCAGTGGACTGGACACAGTGTGCCAGGATGTCCCATCCAGTTCTGTGTTTCTGTGTTCCCCGTTTTGTTTATAGCTGGTTGACACATTTGGCCTAAATACAAATTCTTCTAAGCAATGAGATATCTCTCACATGAAAGCACAGAAATCAACAAATACCACAGACAGAGCTGGTCATGGGGACATGCAGAGAGTACTGTCACATACGTCACTCCTTGATCTGGGTTTCAGCTGCATATGGAGCCAAAGTACTGGGATTGGGGATGGTGGTAATAAAGTGACTCTCTATCTGTTACACAGGAAGTAGATGGATGGTGTAAGGCTGATAGAAACTTTATCAAGGGATGGGAGGTGAAGGCAGGAAGGGGTGGGGGAGCTGAAGAAATTGTCCCCATGAGCAGATGTCACACTGCCTTTAAAAATTGTGCAAGAGCAGCATTCCCTGTAGGAGATCTGATCCTGAAAGTTTCTCATACATACAAAGATAAGGATTAGGAATTTATTTCATTTCATTTCAGCTGTTTTTCAGCAGAGCATTCTCGAGAGCAGCCATGCTTGGTTGGTGGTCAGGCTGAGCTGGGTGGCCATTTATTTTCACATCTGGATCTGGGCTATGTAAGTTTTATCTCTGAATGGCTTTCTAGCAGAATGATGTTTCATGTATCGGTTACAGGAATCAGTTCTGATTAAGCCCACTGCTACACCACTCTGAAATATTCTAAAGGGTCAGTGAAGATATCTGCTCATTTCCAAAGATCTAGGAATACAGGGTAAAAAAGCACTGGGAGGTTGTATATTTCAAACAATGTTACTATTTAACAAGGAATCTGGTTTTGGACAGTTGCTTCGGTATTCTTTATAGGAAGTGAAGAGAGAAAAACAACATACATTTTTCCTTACAAGTAGAGCTGGTTGAATATTTGTCAAATACGAATTTCAAGTACTTTTGCCTGTTTTTATGAAATAGTCTGACAATTAACTTTTCCAGTATTTAATCATATCTACTTATAAAGTGTCACACAAAGTGAAAGCAAACAAATAAAGTATTTCATTAAATACCATAGTTCAGCGCCAAGATTTAGGATCAAGAGGTGACATCAAGCAAAAGAACTGTAACTTAGTCTGGGCCTGATCCTGCAAGACTGACTCATACAAGTAGTCCTTACTCAAGTAAGGAGTCTTGCTGAATTCCAGGGGAGTGCAAAGGTCCCATTAAGCCTTGTGGATGTTTTCTTACATCTCTGTGGCCTCAGCTTTCAGCATTCAGCCATTTTCTCTGGCTCACCTTGAGCCTTACTATTGTTCCACATAGGGCAGCAAAGGAGAAAATACTGGCCAAAGTAAATAGAACAAAGCAAATATTACTAATAATGTATGGACTAGTACCAATGTAAGCCATAAATATATGTGTTTGGCAGCACATGAATGGAACTGCATGATCCAGGTGAACAGAAATGAGCATGTAATCAGGAGGTATTCCCACCCTATTCCTATCACAGTTCACATAGACTAGATATGGTACAATCTTACCCCTTCCTGGGGTTTCCTGTGTTGTTAATGCAGGAAACAAAACAAATTTCAACTTGAGCTTGGCTCCCTGCAGGACCAATCTGTCCCTGCCCCTGATACTGCTTCGAGTAGTAGAAATAAGCTATACTTCAAAACATTCTACAGAGTATAAAGATACTTTTGATATATGGAGCTATGATATTCAGTTATCAGTGGCATTTCTGTAACACATGATACTCAAAACGCTTGAAGGATTATCTTAATGGGGGGGGTGTGACAGCATCTGTTGATGTGCATGCATATACACACACAATCTAGCAATTAGAAACTCATTGGATCATACATACATACTTCATTTTCTAAAATAATTGGTGTGGGGTAAAAGATTTGTGCACACATATCTTCTCAAAGATGTCAAAGCCACATGAATATCGAAGGCATTATCAAACTGAGATGACAATGACCCCACATCATCCAATTCCCAATGCTGTGGCTCAGTGAAACATTTTATATCATATGTCAGATATACGTAAGTAATCTGTGGAGCATGATATTGATGACATTCTTTCCTTCTAACACCAGACCTCCGTTGAGGTAGTGTTGGATTTACTAAGGCTATGCGAGCGGGTAGCTGAGAACGTGGTGCTCAGTAGATTTCACTGTGCCATATCTAGCCTCTGTTTATAAAAGCTTTCATATATTTCTTGCACCCCAGCTACCATTCAAGACGAATGTACATTTAGTATAGCAGATGATAGCAAACAACCATGTGTTGCCAGTGTCCCCAGTATCAATGCAAAATTAGTAGAGGAACTTGTTTTTTAATCAGTGCCAGATGACCATTAGAGAACTAAAATTTGGGATTGCCGTTTAATTTCATAGCCATAGGAATTCTATTAGCAGGCAGCAGTATTTGTTCACTTCCTGTGGCCCCACCAGAATTGCCAAAACAGCAATTAGTAAACAAGAAGAAAAGGGGGGCACATGCACCAGTATACTCTGACTGTTTGGACCATTCAAGATATGCAAAGCAGCCATACATTTCATTTAGTTAGTCAGCCAGTTTACTGCTCTTTCACATCACCAGAGCAGCATAAAGCGGCCAGACGTACCAGGGAATCTAGTCCCAAATAGCATTTGAAATTTTAAGGTGACCATTTCCTTACACAAGCAAGCAATAACACACATGGGGAAGATTTTACATAGCTTTTATTGCTTTTTGAGTACATAGAGGGCCAGATCCACCAGTGCTTTCTAGCTGTTTTGCACTGTTCCAACAAGGCAAAGCAGCATAAACTGAGCTCAGCTGACCGGTTAAACTGGGTTGCTGTTTTAAATTGCCAAAGCAGTGCGTACAAGCTGGAATATACTGGAGAATATGGTCAAATGTATCTACTGTTTTTAAAGTTACTTCTGAAACGACTTCCTCTGGAAAATACTGCTTCTAGAATGAAATTCAGCACCTGTAACTCTGGTTTTATTAATGGCACTTACAGGAATTACATCAAATCATGCTTGCAATAGCGTATAATTGGTCAAATGTCTTGGGTCCTTTGTAATAGGGTCATATTTTCTTTTTCATTGTGCATTACAATGTATCTTTATTCAACTGTTTTACAGGAAAAGCAGAGCAGAAATAAACAAGGAATAGCCAAGAAGATAAGGCATAGCATTTTCATGGTGCTAATTAAAATGATAAGTTAAAAGTTAAGAGCAGAGCAGGAAAACAGATGTGCGTAAGATGTGAATATTGGCTAATGAAATACACATCTTTAGCAACTGTCCCATGCAAACAGGGGAACATAGCAGTACTTGTTTATATAATGTCACTTTGAGAGCACATTCCTGGGTGATTATGCTTTGCCTCTGCAGCCAAACTTAAATGAAGTGGCAGTTGTTCATTAATTGTATTTGATAAGAATGTTGCTGTTGTAAGAAGCTTGTTTTCTTTCATGTTTCAATGTGTTCTCAAAGGAAATCATGACAGTGCGCTACTTGACAAAATTTCTTGAGACACTTGATAAGAACTAGAATTGTTCTGTATAGAGGTCCATCTTTCTCTAGCGGTGACTGACCCTGAGGATGCAAGGTTTCACTTTTGTTCTTTTTCTTGGCTAGTAAAGCTTAAGACTACACAGAGAGTAGCCACTGTCTAATGCTTTAGCATGTTCTGTTGCTGTTATTTCTTAGGAATTGTATTAATTGCATCATCATAGTGTTAACTTAATGGCATGAGACTTTTCCACAGACAAGTATGAGAGGGAAAGCAATAAACATCAGTGCTGAAGGTGGGAGTGGGTGGGATTACAATTTAAGGCCCTGATCTTGCAAAGACCTAAGAACATGTTTAATTTTATGCTAGTAAAGTAGTTTCATTGATTGATTTTAATAAGACTGGGAAGGTATAAGGGATAGTATTCCTCTGGGGTCAGAGGCCTGCAGCTGGCTGGCTAATTAGCCCCACCCACTGCACCTGGGAAAATACCAGCAACTTAACTGGCTGATCCTCAGAAAAAGAGGAGCAGGGTGTCTGCACTATCTGCCAGAGGCTGGAGCAACTGCTGTGAAGAGCAGCTCCAAGAAACAGATGGACAGAAGGGAGACTGGGGAAAATCCTGTAATATCACAAAAAAGGCTCTGACGTATAAGCCTGGAACTTTTGGGGTGGTGAATTCGTGGGGTGAGGGACAGACTCGAGGGAAATGGACTTAACCTGTACAGACTTTATGGGAAGAGGCTGTGAAGCACTGGTCCTTGTTTACATTAAGAAGGCTTGAAATAAAATACACAGCAATTAATCTGACTGGAATCTACTCTCCCTGGATTCTATGAGAAGGGCCCAGACAGGATTTTCCCAGGGCGGGAACTGGCTCCACAGGCACAAGCCTGGTTCCAGCCAGAAGAGAGTGATGTAACTTAGGCCCCAATCCTTTACAAGGACTATTTGCGTACATAAAGTTAAGCACAGGCATAAATCTTCGCAGTTTCAGGGTCTGACTCTATAACACCATAAGTGTCCCTTGATTAGACAAGCAGTCTGTCCTATAAGAAGAATTCCTAAACATTATGGGTCTGATCCTGGATGTTAAGCATTCATATGGCTTAGGCAGTGCTCATGATCAGGGCCATGAGGACAAAGATAGATGATGGATTCCAGTTTAAAACATAGTCTGGTAGTAATTCAGAGGCAATTTCACATCCCTTGAAGGGGTTTTGGCCACAGAAAGTGGACAACTACTGTGCAGCAAATTTCCTCTGGTACTGCTCTTCCTCATGTCTTCCAAAGTTTTCTTTTTTTAACAGAAAGCATAACTTGGAACAGGCACAACAGTGTCTCAGTTGCTACTTGAAGTTGATGTGTCCCTGACAGGAGGCTTGAAAATAAACCTGCCTGAAAAATAAGACATGTAGAGGAAATCTTTTATCCAATATCTGAATTTTCACTGTAGCTCAATAAATCACCATGTTATTTGCAAAGGATTTTTTTTTCAAAATGTGCACCTACAAGCATATTACCCATGCAATTACATGTTAATCATTACATAGTGCAAACTTCCTGCACGACTACCCAATCTGTTTGCACAGTAGAGAACAGAAGTTGGTCCAGGGTGCTCTTTTTCTAAAAAGTTCAATATGTCTATTTCAAATAAAACTATGTAGGGTTCACCATTGCAGGGTGAAGGACTCCCTCTACCACTTCTCCTGGCCAACATGCGGAAGGGTTTGCAGCAAGAGCTTTGGTACCTTTGACAAGGAAGGGTTGGCAAAAGAGTTAAATTATTAGCCACATCTCTCTTCAGAGCTTACCACCATGATTGCACTTGTCTCACATGGCAACCCATATGGCACGTCATTATCCTCCCTCCCTGCAGATCTCATCTCTCTCCTTCTTGTTATTCCCCTTGCTACACGGGCCAGCTCACTTCATGAAGACAAAACATCCACATGATTTTTGTACAGTAAAGAATATTTTAAAACAGAGATAGTAAAGTTGCAACATGCTGCAAGGAAAAGCCACTTACCTCTGGCCCTGTCGGCATTCTGTAGTGGCTCTAAGGTCATCAGGATAATATATGGCATGACATGTCCTGGAGCAGGAACTGGCAATATGTGACTGGAGATTTAAAATGAAAAAAAAGTCACAATCAATTGTGATAGGTACCAAATATCTTTCCCCTTGTTATTTAGGATCTCCCTAACTTGTTAGTTATCTTAAAAAAACTTCTAATCACCTTAAGTTAATTCTTTTGATAGACTTATTACAATTTCTTATCAAATACTTAAAATTCACTCCTATACTTCACAAGCTTCAAACCAAGTTATGTTTATTAAAAACAATGTTGTTATGAACTTGACAAGACAGTGGTGTTTAAAACCCACATGTTATTACAGAGTGATACTGTACTCTGGGGGTGTGCACTATTTGGCAGCTGGGTGCACTCTGCTTTGTCTACTGTGTTCTCTCTTGCCCTTAGACTATGAAAGCACATGCTGGGATCTTGCCTGCAGATTCCACTTTTGTTCATTTATAGGGTGCACTCCAAGATACACAACAGAATGCAGCTGGAGGCAACCGCCTGGAACAAACTGGAAGTAAAAACACTAATCCTTGGTGCATGTTGTGTCAGCTTAACTGCATCCAAGTAAAACAGTACTCTGAATGGGCAAATCCACTCATCTGCTATGTGGATGCACTAGTGGAGAAGAATATGTAAAGGACTGATTCCTGCCCTTGCTCCTGCCCATCCTAGGCAACAGAATGATAGATTGCAACTTAGGGTTTGTCTACACTGCAATTAGGCACCCGCAGCGGGCCTGTGTCGGCTGACTTGGACTCACAGGGCTCGGGCTGCCAGGCTGTTTAACTGCAGTGTAGACTTACCGGTTCAGGCTGCATCTCACAGGATCCTAGACCCCAGGCTCCAGCCCAAGTCCAAAAGTCTACACTGCAGTTAAACAGCTTGCTAGCCCAAGTTCTGCAAGCCTGAGTCAGCTGGCACAGACCAGCCGCGGATGTGTAACTGCAGTGTAAGACATCCCTTCGTGTTCCCAGATAGCTAGGCAAAGGAACCAGATGCTGGAAAGCCCTCTATGCTGGGAGTATTTTCCAGGTAGGCCACATGGATGCTTTGTGCCCACTTTGCACCAACATAGCTGGCATAAAGTATCCCAGTACCCATGGCAATCATGAACTGGCCACTTAAATACCACATTGGGCCTGATTCACCACTGCTTTGCATCTTTGCTAGTCATTCATACCTGTGTAAAGTCACATCCACACGTGTGTGTGTGTTTAAATAGTCACCAAATCAGTATGTAATTGACCTTCTACAAGGCTGTGGAGAATCAGGCCCATTGCATCATCTATAGTTTCAAATGTAATAGTTTCAAGGGAGCTCCCACTCCCATTGCAAGACAACTGCAGATGGACTGAGACTAGCTAAGCAAGATAAAAGACATGGACTCACTTGTGCTACATGTAGAAACACATGTTCAGGATGATGAGAGGATAATGATTTCTGAGTGACATGCCAAGTCTATGTACTTACAACAGGACTTTACTGTTTTGGGAGTGGGATTACAACACAAACTTGTCAGTTGGATGCAGTCTCTGGGAAAAGGAGCAGCTAGAAGAGCACTTTGTATGCTGTTTAACAAAAAATGCTCTCTTTTGCTCCGACTTTAGAAGTGAGTGGATATTTGGTGAACTTTGTTGCTGCTTGCACTGTTAATACATCTTTACTCAGTAGGGTAATGAGCGATACGTGCACTAGGCTAAAACATGAAAATCTTAACACAGTTTTTCCTCAATCCTTATGCAGAACAATTCCATCAACTTTTCCTAGGATCTTTGTTTGAGTTTTGTGTAAAAACTGAGTAAAGGCCTCATGATTTGTACTATTCTTAATAAAAATGGACTAAGAAAGAATACGCTGTATCTGTGTCCTTATTTGTCTCCTGTCAGTGAAATAGCCCATGCCAGAAATCCAAATCCTTCTTGACCGCTTGGAAACTAGGACAATATCTACATAGAAAGAAAACAATAATCTAGCCTCTTAAAGGGAATAACCCTTGAAACAAAGAAATCAAACTGAAATACAATAAGTATAAAAATATATCTGTTACACCATTGCTTGCCTAACACAATACAACTGGCTCAAGCTGAGTTATGTAATCTAAAATAGTTTTGCTTTATTTCCTGTCCTAGTTTTTCTCCTGAAACTCAAAATTTCACCTCTCACTGTCAGGTACAGCTGCTGTCTCAGTTTCCCTCTTCTTGCGAGGGTAGCTTAGGCTTCTGCCTAAATCAAAGTTACTCCTTCCCCTTCCCAGGTAAATAAAGTTTCAAAACAGAGTTCAACAAAAATATAAAGCCTTCCTCTCAGTGAAGGGCTCACTCTTTTGGTCCAGGACCAACAAAAGTTTTTATTGCTGGGCTTCTTTCATGGTCCTTTGGAGGAGATGTATGAGCAGCTCCTGTTCTCTCCAGGTTTTCTCCCAAGTCTCTGTCTTTCTTGCCCAAAACACCATTCTTGTGGTACTTTCTTCAGCCCTTTGGCTGTTCTTCTAGGCCTCTTCCTAAGCTCTTCCAAACCCCTTCCTGTGGAGGAGAAGAGAGATTCAACAACACATCAGATTTCTCACTGTTCTGAGGCAAGGCTACCTTTTATATCCCCTTGGCAACCTTCCCATAATTCCTTGCTGTAACTACAGTGCCCAGGGTCCCTCTGGACTACAGCCACTAGAATCCCTCTAATCTGGGAACAGTCCAGTAACAGGAATGTGCTGCTGGATCTGGGGCGGGCCTTAAAGCACCACACACTCTGATAGAGTCCCAAATCAGAATTTATTTGACCAAATGACAACTGTTGCAACACAGACACATTGCTAGAAATTGGTTTATTGTTAGTTGGTTAGATATTTAAAATTTCATGTTACAATGACCTGCAATAGACTTGCCAGTCACATTAAACACTCTAACCTCAAACATGGGAGTCAACCCTGCTGAATATTTAGAGAAGTGTTTTCACAGCAAGTACTTGGCAAATCTCAAAAAGTTCAGACAAACTACCAGAAGTTTGAATGATTATCCAAGGCTGAACTTGTCCAAAGCTCTTTGTGCTTGACAACTTTGTCACATTAGTCTCTCTCAAGAACTTCCTGGGTTTGGCCAGTGCAAAAATATTGTAAGAATAGCAATTTCTAGTCCCAGCTGAAAGCAATGGCCTGTAACCAATTTTTAAAACAAATAAGCAGATTTGTTTGCTTAACCTTAGAAAAGGTTTGAACTCACTTCCATGTGAGTTTTAAGTCAAGATTCTGGTTGGTTCTCATATGATCCCATCGCTTAGTTATATAATAAAGAAGTCTATAAGGAGGTGAATCTAAAAAGCAGCTGGGAACCAAGAATACAGGTGCTTCATGCAAGGGTATGCGTTCAAAAGAATTTATACTATTGTTACATTGAACTTACATCTTTCTGCATATCATAGATAAACATATCAAGAAAAAAAGAGGTAGAAGGGGGATGAAGAGAAAGGAATGAGAAGGGAAAAGACAAAGACACACAAAAAGGGCAGAACAGAGAGGTCTGAGCACTAGGATTCAGTAGTTTGAGCTGTAATCTCCACTCTAATTTATTAACATCTCTGCCTCAGTATCCATCCTTAAAAAGAGGAAGAGATGATCATACCAACTTTCACCACCGCGGCAATGTTAGAGTTAAGTAGCAATTTGTAAAATGGAAAGTAATATTGAGCACTTTATATCTTTGAAAGACTATGCAAATATTGACTAGTTTGTCTAAACTAATTTCAAAGTACTAAGTAGTATGATGATTATTTTAGTAGACCAGAAGCTGCCAATAAAAATGTTTCCCCCCATGTGTAGAACATGTCATCTGTATAAAACAGAAACTGCCTGCTATGCTCTTTATGAAAACAACAGCAGTGCTTCAGACAATGCAGCTGAGGGTGGGACTATTAACAGTTATAAATACAACGTTAACAACGTCACTGTATTTCCCTTGACTTCCACACTAGAATCTCTGGGGAAATAAAGGCCCTGTTACTTACTAACTTGAATTCCTGTCATTGTACTTTGGGCATCAATTGCTCTAGACTAAAACCTACTACATATGCCCGAGGTTATCATCTTTGGGGTCATTCACAAGCACTGATGTATAGCTGAAATAAGTGGATTTTTTCCCCAAGAGTTTTGTCATAGATCAGGGTGAACAGCACACTGAGTGGTGGCAGAATGGGAGAGAATTCCCACAGGAATTTGTATTAAATATAACAATTTCACTGCCCTTGGATAATTGTAATTGTTTTCTTAATTTTCTCAACTAATCCAAAGTGACGACATGTCAAGCTTTACAATAGTTCCAGCGCTATCATTTCCTTCCCTCTTCCCCACTCACCTATTTTTTTGTAAAAAAAAAAAGCTGATGAGAGCAAAACCAACAAACATATACACTAAACTTCCAGTCTAGCTAAGACCAGTGGGTGTTTAAGTCTTAGCATTTGCTAAAAAGTGTCTCTTTATAGACACAGATATATTATTGGGATCATTCTGATATTTTTCCTTCTAGCTTGCCCCTTATTCTGCAAATACCTATTTTTGTTAAGAGAAGGCAACATAGATTTTTTTTGGTCAGGTGGATTTTTGTTGCCCATGAAAGTCTATGATTGAAAGCACTACCAACACTTAGACACTCTGTGAGTAAACAAGGGATGGGCAAATCAGTTCAGACAAAATAACGTCACAACACAGCCAAACAATCTTTATGAATCCTTTCTGGAATTCCAAAGTTGTCTCAAGCAGGGACTGTTTCTTCCTCATGATTGTCATTCAAAACATTCTAGCAAACATGCACAAACAAGCTGTGATGCTGGCAGACCAGGTGCCAGCTTATGCCAAGGGCCCTAGGCCTCACTAAACACTTACAACCGCACAACTGGAAACCAGTCTTGCTTACCTGCATGGTAGTATTATCAGAATAGATATTAGAGTTATAACAATGTGTTTAGACTTTATGGAATGCTTGTAAGGTGTACATGTATTAGTCCTACTTATAATATAGGTAATTTTCACTTCACGCATCTGAAGAAGTGGGGTTTTTACCCAGGAAAGCTTATGCTCAAATAAATCTGTTAGTCTTTAAGGTGCCACCGGACTCCTTGTTGTTTTTGTGGATACAGACTAATACGGCTACCCCCTGATACTTGACTTATAATATCTGTATCCCATGGTATAAGGTAATGTTCAAATGTTTGCTCCATAGGTATAAAAATGTTTAAGGCTAAATTCCCCCCAGCCAGGGGAGAAACATTACCAAGCATGAAATATTAGTTTACCCCATGAGGTGTTATCTCCTGCTCATCAGGAAGAACTATTGAATCCAAATGCGCCAAGCAAAGACTTTGTCGCTAGCTCCCCTACCCACCGAGGAAGAGGTTACATGCAGGAGTTCTCGTCCCATCAGCTGTGATTTTGGGATGAGGGGGATAAAAATCCCTGACAAGGAGAACTGTATCTTTTATGCTGTCAGGCCTCTGAGGGGCAAAGATACCTAAACATAAGCAGGAGAACCCCATCCAGGTCAGCCCTAAACATATAGAGCTGCTTATTATAGAAGCACCAGGGAGTGGGGAAAAGGCTGCCTAATTTATAGAGACTGACTGTGTAGAAGAGTTCCTGTCCACCTTTGAGAGGCTCTGTGGGATCCACAAGGTCCCAGAGGATAAGTGGGCTGCCCATCATCTTGACCAGATTAACTAAGAAGGCAAGACAAGTTTTAAATGATATGGAAGAGGGTGATGCTATGGTATATAAGAAATTTAAAGAAAGTGTACTGAAAAGGTTTAAGATCACCCCTTAGTCCTATCAATTGAAGTTTAGAAATCTTAAAATGTTTGACAGTATCACTCATCTTGAATATGTGCCTAAAATGTGTAATTTTATGAGAAGATGGATAATGGGGTAGGGGCTGAAGATGATTATGAAAAACTATTTGATCTGATGGCCCAAGGAGAAATTGTCATGGGTAGTTACAGATGAGGTGACTGTAAGGCAGCCATCTGTGACAAAAAAACCTTCCAAAGTTTTTGAGGCAAAAATTGCTGATGAATATGTTGAGTCAAGGGCTCGTGGAGGGCGTAAATCCCAGGGAAAGAGAAATCCCTCTGGCCCGCAGGGTAAGTGGGAGGAGGGATCTGGCAATAAACCTACCCCCAACTTTAATAAAAACACCCAAGGAAGCCCAGGTTTTAAAATCCAATTCCCAAGTTAAGGCAGGTAGTCTGCCATCACTGTGAGCCTCCCAGCTATATAAAACCAAATTGTCCAAAACTTAAGGTCACATCATAATCCACACACACAACCCTCAATGGGAATGCTGCTACCCTGGACCCTGAGATAGCAGAAGCAGATGTGAAGGACCCAGTGAGCTATTATAGGACTGAGTCTTAGGAAAGAAGTGAAGAATTTATTAAGGATGCTAAGATAAGTGGCATAGATTGTAAGGGCTAGAGGGACACAGCATCCCAAGTCACTTTGGTCAAGGAAAGTTTGGTAAGGGAGGAAGACAAACTCCTTGGTAAGAGTTTAAATATATTACCTTTGGTTGAATTCTCTGTAACTGTACCTCTGGCTAAGGTCCACTTCCAACTGTAGGATTTTAAGGGAGATGCCATTGTGGGCATCTGAAACCTGCTCCCTGTTGATATTTTAATAGGTAATAATACTTTAACCATGTCTAAGCAGGTTAATGGCATTACCCACAGCCAGAAAGAGTATGGCTCTAACTCACCTGCTTTGTTTGTGGAGAGCAGGGAGGGCTGCAGGATGGGGAGAATGACTGCAGTCCTTTCTAAGCTGAGAGTAGCAGTTTCTGCTTAGAGGAGGAATATGAATATTTCACTGATTTGCGAGAGCCTGCTTTCAACTTAAGTGGGACTCAGAAGGAGTTTATTGAGGGTCAACAGGCTGATCAAGAGAGGGTTGCAGCCTATAGATATGTAGAAACCCTCACTGGACCTTCCAGGAATGGAAAGAAATATATACTTGTGGTGGATTCTGCTAGCAGGTACCCTGAAGCCAAAGCTCTATCTCATATAGAAGCTGAGACTGTGGCTACTGCCCTATTCACCACTTTTAGCAGAGTAGGTTTTTCCCAGGGAAATCTTGTTGGACTGTGGTGCAAATTTCATGCCTGTAGTTTTCAAAAAGTTATGGGAGTTGTGTGGAGTGAGGCATGTAAAGGCTGCCCCTATCATCCAGAAACTAATGATGTGGTGGGAAGATTAAATGGTACATTGAAAGCTATGCTGAAGATATATGTTACCAGGTGAGAGAATGACTGGGATGTGTTGCTCCCTTATTTGTTATTCACAAATAGCAGGGTTCCCCAAGAATCTACTGGCTTCGCTCCCCCTTTGATCTTCTTTACGGGAGACATGTGAGGGGACCCCTACATTTGACTGGAGGCTCGTGGGAGGGTAATACAGACGAGACAAGACAGCCTCTAGGCAAGTATGAAACTCATTTAAAAGAAAATTTAAAGGCTTTGATGGATTTAGTACTGCAAAACAATGAAAGGAGTGAGGTGACCCAAAAGGTTTGGTATGACAGGTATGCTGAAGAAAGATCTTTTGACATAGGTGATTTGATGTTAGAGTTTATTCCAGTGCGAAAGAACAAAATGCAAGATTGGTGGGAAGGACCTTTAGAGATGATAGAAAGAGCGAATGTGGTCACATATGATGTAAGGAAGCTCCATGGTTGGGGAGCTCTGCAAACGGCACATGTCAACCGATTGAAAGCTTACCATGAAAGAGAGATGGGAGTGAATATGATTTGTTGTGCTGATGAGGGAACTTGTACTGTCCCCTTAACTGATTTGGTCAGTGAGAGTAAGGAAGAAATTTCTCTGGAGAACATTGAGACGTGAGAGGGTTTAAACCCCACTCAAAAGCAGATGTTAGCCCTTTTGCAGAATCATGGGCAGGTTTTCCAACCAACCAAATTTAACTGACAAGACTGTACATTCCATTGAAACTACAGAGCCCCTCCCTGCTCCTAGCAAAGCATATCATACTATAGGAGAAATGCAGAAACAAATTCACAAGGAAGTAGAAAGCATGCTGGATATGGGGGTGATTACTAAACCAAAAAGCCCCCGGGCATCTCCTATTATGATGGTATCTAAAAGGGATAAAACCATGAGGTTTTGTGTAGACTTTAGGAAGTTAAATGCTATCAATCAACCTGACTCATACCCCACACCCTAAATCGATGACTTGCTGAATATATTAGGGGGTGCAAAATTCATAAGCACCCTGGATTTGACTCAAGTGTGTTGGCAAATTCTCTTATATACTGATGTCCAGGAAAAATCAGCATTTGTAGTGGAATCTGGCCCATACAAGGTTAAGAATAGGCCTTTTCAGATTAATTAATTCAGGGGCTACTTTTCAGATGCCTGTCAATGAAGTGTTGCAGGGATTACATACCTTTGCCAGGGCTTATGTAGATGACTTGGCTACCTTTTTGACTCCTGGCAAGACCACTTAAACCACATGGGAATTGTGTTACAGAGGCTTAGAGAAGCCAACCTCACTGTCAGGTGCCCATGTGCAAGATGGGGGCTGCAGAGGCATCTTATCTAGGACATAGCATGGGCAGTGGATTTGCTCGCCCTCACCCTTTAAAAGTAGAAGCTACTCAGGGTTGGGTTGCCCCACAAACCAAGAAGCATGTCTGGCCAATTATTGGTCTGGCTAATTAATACCAAAGGTTTAGTGATATTGTGGCATTCCAATCTATCTTGCCACCAGACAAGCTGGACTATTTCATAGATGGTCACTTTACACCAAAAATCACAAGAATATTCAGGTTACTCCCAGTCCCAAAGGAGTCAGGCAAAAGACCAGTCACTTACCCCGGGTCAATTGTACTCAGATCTCAAACCAAAGACAATCCTGCAATAAATTACCAAAGGTTTTATTAACTAAGCAAAGAAATTTATTTACAAGGTTAAAACAGGAAACATACATACACAAATGAGTTACAGTCTTAGATTAAAAAAAGGTAATATAAGCTGCTATAATAAGCAGCTCTATATTCCCTTTTGGACGGACCCATACAAAGGAGCAATTATTCTTGGCCCTGGGTATCCTGTGCCCCTCACCCTATGTCTAAAAAGAGGACAGGCTTCTCTACCGTCACTCCTCAGGCCCCGCCAGACCACAGTAGCCCTCAGCCTCCTCTGGCTCATAGTCAAGAGGAAGTGGAAAGCACATATGGGTACCTGCCCGGGTCAATTTGCCAACAGTTACCCCACATGGCTTACTCTCTGGGCGCATGTGTAGGAGCCAGTGGGCATATGGAGTACACATCTGGTGGAGGAGGAATGTTCGACTGTAGAAGGGAAATAAATACTGGGTAGGAGTAGCAACAAGCACAAGGCAATCAAAGGACTCCCTCCTATGGAAGCCTATTCCAGAACTCAACTACCCTAATAGATAGAAAGATTTTCCTAATATCCAACCAGCAGATTAAGCTGATTACTTCTTGGCCCATTTTCAATGGACTTGGAGAACAATTGATCACCATCCTCTTTATAAAAGCCCTTAACATATTTGAAAACTGTTATTGGGTCCCCCCTCAGTCTTTTTTTCCTCAAGACTAAACATATCCAGGTTTTTTTAAAAAAAAATCTTTCCTCACAGGTCAGGCTTTTAAAACCTTTTATCACTTGTGTTGTTGTCCATACTGTCTCCAATTTGTCCACATCTATCCTAAATTGGAGAGTCCAGAGGAAAGCAACAAAAAATGGCCCTGCTGCACCATCTTTTTTCTGGACCCTGTAAACTTAGCTGGGACCCCATATTTTCTTGCCCAACCAGATCCAGGAAATGGAAATTTCACCACAGAACGTGTTCATATACCAGATTTGTAATTTAAATTGTAGCCAAGAGAGGTACAGATGCTACCCCAAACCAAATCCTGGAAATTCGTTCATCAGTAGGAGAGCAATTAGTTCTCACTTGTGTTTACGCATCTCAATCCTGTCCTACACACACCCCTATTATTTCACACTGCACTTCTAAACCAAGAATGCCCCTTAAGCTAAGTTCATCCAAACTGTAATGTGGATTTGTTATCTTGACAAATGTCCAGTACACTCTAAATCGGTGCCAACAAGGAATTTCATTTGGGACCTAATCCAGGTCACAGCTTAGCTTTCCAGAATTTATCAGATGTACCCATTTCACTAGCTAGCCCTCAAACATTTATCCAGAAACCTTCTACCACAACCGCCTAACCCATATTTAGGCACCAGAATAAAAGCGAGCTGAGTTTTACAGGTGTTGAGCCCTCACAGCTCCTTCTACAATCAAAGGGAATTGCGAACACTAACTCTGAAAAATCAGAACACTTATTTAAGAAACAATGGCCTTGATTCGCCGATCTCTCTTGTGGGTGAGAAGGTAGGAAGCTGGTTGCAGCTAAATAATTCAGGGCCACCTAGCCCCTATATAACTTAGGACAGGTCTATCCTGGCCATTTAAAGCAGAAAGAAGTCCCCTTCTTGAGCAAAAACCATGGGAGCGTCTACAATCGCCAATGACTTTTCCAGTGAAACAAAAAGAAAACCACCTCCATGAGAGACATACAGCTCTTACCAGTGATGCTTTTGCGGTGATGCACAAGTGAAGACACGTTCTTCCTGTTTACCCAGCTTTTAGCCTCCGGAGGATATCCCGCAGTGCCTAGGTGACCACTCTATCCAGCAGCTTTGCTGCTCTGTTGCCAGGTAAACAGACATCCACCCCTCCCCCTGTAAAGCCCCGGGAACTTTGAAACTCCCCTTCCTGTTTTCTTGACAAGTGCTCACTTATCTGGCCAGGTGACAATGCCTGCTCCATGGAGCAAACAATCCCCTGCTTGGAGCAATGCTGAGCTACTGGAGCTGATCAGTGTTTGGGGAGAGGAGGCTGTGCAGGGACCCAGGATGCCCCACGATCACGCCTCCTCCACTTCCCACAAGACCCATTGTAAAACTGGAGAGAGCTGCACTGTGGGATAGCTGCCCTAGAGCACTGCTCTCATCCACGATGGAAGTGCTGCTAATGTAAAGAGTCTCTGATGCCTGAGGAGTTAAGTGAGTACACAAACCAGCGCTCTACTTTCACCAGTTCCCGATCACCGGTGAAACTTACAGCGAAAAACCTGTGCAAGTGTAGACATCGCCATTGCTTGACATAGCCATTCCTGGGTAACTGCAGTGAAGCCAATGGGGTTAAGCGAAGTAAGGATTTGGCCCACCACATCTAATTTGTGGCCGAGAGAACTCAACCACAGGCGTAAGTTGAAGCCAATGGGAATTGCATATACGTACACAAGGGTTGAATTCTGGCCAGTATTACAATTAGCCTGGATAAGAGAAAAAGCAAATACAAATGAAACTGAAAAAAGTTCCAACACTGACACTGAAATGAAGATCAATGAGAAGTTCATGAACCAGATCTGAAACTTCATTCAACACTGGCAATGGCACTGTTTATATTTCCAATTCACTATGTCAGCAAGTTTGAGTCAAAACTTGCATTCTTTGATCACAGGGCCAGCAGAGACTATAGATAATTCCTCAGGGAGTAAAGTCTGCTCCCTGTGCTGGGATTACTCTCCCTGACATACCAGAGTCACAACAGTGAACAAACCTATACAGACTATTAAATACCTGCCTTAAAAAAGGAAAAAGAAAGAAAGAAGTTACTGAACAGCTGCTCTCAAGAGGGAGATCAATGCAAATGAAGATGGATTTTGTGGTTGAAGGGAGCTCAGCACCTTTCCTCTATGAATCTGTCCTGCATAAAATAATAAACTTCACCTCATTCAGAATGAGCTAGATTTCTCTCAGCAGCCTGATTGGCCCAAATTTTTCACTTTTTTACACTGGTGTAACCCCAGTGCTTTCAAAGGGATTTCACCAGTGCATCTGAGGGCAGAATTTGGCCAATTGCCCCCAAAACTGATGTAAATTGTCACGTCTTATATCGTTAACTATGGGCCAAACTGTGACTAGCCACTCTAAGGCAGCTGTGCAAGGGAATAGGAAGTAGTAAGGATTCCCCTTCCTGCCACACACAGCCATGTTAGACCCACAGTTTAGCTCTATGTGTGGGATGCAGTGCTCCAAATGCTCCCTCTAGGGAGCACTGGGGTGGGGGGTGGTCAAAAGTAGGCTACACAATGGCTCCATCCCACTCCCGACAAGCTGACCAGCAGAACTAGTTGGCCATGCAGTGGAAGACCAAGCTACATACTGAAAACATACTGGTTGCAAAATACACTCTTCCAGTGCAACAAGGGACCAGGCGACACTAGGTATAGCAGGGTAGCTCTGAATGACACTGCCTCCTGTTGATCCACCCAGGATAGCATGCCTACGCACTGCCCCATACTCAGGGCTGAGCCTATAGGTTCAATCTAGCCTAACTCACATGAATTTAAAAGTTCTTAGGTCAAATCCTGCCCTCAATGCCATTTGTGCATTCCCAGTGAAGGCAGTTTAATAAAGGTCGTCAAATTCATTCCACTTCCCTTCCGTGCCAGTGATGGTGGTAGGGTAGCACAGGTGAAACTGTGGGTGGAACTTTCCCCCAGGCTTATAATTATAAATACCTCATACATTTGTTACTCGACACAAGCCTATCCACCAAACGTTGGGCCCAAATGTTTCCAGCCTTGGAAAAGTCCAAATCTGGATCCAAATTTGTGTCTTAAGCCCATCTCTAATTATATATTATCCCATAATTGTACCAAATAGCTAGAATTATATTTTGGATTTTTGATGTATTATAAAGAAACACGGCTATTAAAACACAAGGGCAAGTGCTACACATATGAAAACAAAAGAAGGGAAAAACTTCCCCAAAGTCCCATTCAAGTCAATCAAGCTTCCTTTGGGTCAAAGTGCATTTTTAAATTTGTAACTGCTTTGCAAACAAACAAAAATATCAGATGTTCGACTTAGTTTCAATATTTTTACATTTCTCAATCTTTGCGGGTGGAGGGTTATTTTTTTGTGGGTGTTCAAAATGCAACTGATGTCTTCAGCATTACTTAAACAACCACAGTCTAGCAAAAGATAACATTACAATTTTTTTTAAGTATTAATGTCTGGCAAAACATCAAAGTTTGTTTCCTTAATCTAGAGAATCCTTTACTTATGAGTTATTTATTATATCTGGCTTTTCTCCAGAAGTTATGTATCCTACACTGATTTATTTCTTTTAGCGTCACTGTTTTTAACTGTAAGAGAATGGAACTTGGCAAAGCCATTTCATGATTAAGGACCCTATTCCGTTCATCAGGAAGTCAATGTGATGTTCCCATTGACTTCCGGGGGAGCAGAATTGGGCCCTAAATAACCTGAAATCAAAGCCAAGAAAGAGTCGGTTGTTACCACACACACACACACACACAACGGAGATCAGAGAAGTGTTTCCTCTTGGTCATGAACTGGGAATATTAACCCATTTGAATAAAAATATCTGTTATATTCTGCATCTGATTCAGGAGATGGAACCAGAATTTGGATGTTGAAGGCAGACAAGCAGCCATGGTCTGGAGTCAGTGATCTGAATTCACTGGTGGCTTGAACAGTGGTGCAAGATACACACGGGGTGTTGATTAGATGGCAGATGTAGGTGGATGAAAGTGATAAAATAGTGTAACTTGGATGTATCTGGCATCCCATGGGTATGCAAGATTAGTGAAACTTACATGCCAAGGGGACAGAAGAAGGTGGGGAGTATCAGGAAAAGCAGCTAGCAAGTGTAAAAAAAAGCTGCTCCCTCTTTAAACTTATGCATGCACTGTCCCAAACACTTTTAAGGGTAAATTCAGTCACAGAGAGTCCCCTTCATGTGTGCAGGGGCTGCCGAGGCAGCCCCTCCCCAGCACCGCACAG